CTAATGGCAAAGACTTCATCATTTGGTTCATTTATGCAATGCATTTCATATTCATTTGGTTTAAAACTAAATACCACCAATACTTTACAGATAATAGGGTGCATGTTATACCACATGTTGAAAATGAATAAATTTAAAATTTTTAATTTAATTAAATGGATATTAATTTATATTAATGTCTAACTAAGTACGGAGTGCACTAGGTACAACTCGCTGTACAACTCTTATTAAATTAAAACCTACATTATTATATAGCTTAACCATGCTAAATTAAGAATATCGGGGTCCGATAATCTATGGGAAGGTGGTCTGGTCATAATCCAGTGGTCAAGTTTCTGATAATCTCACAATTTTCAAAGGTTTTATATGCATTATTCACTTTTATACATTACTCATACTATAAAAGTGAGTCTTAGAAATAATGCATGAATTCACATCAAATGTCAATTGAATTTGTATAGAGTTATACGAATCTCGCAAACTTGACCACTGGATTATGACCAGACCACCTTCACATAGATTATCGGACCCCGATATTCTTAATTTAGCATGGTTAAGCTATATAATAATGTAGGTTTTAATTTAATAAGAGTTGTACAGCAAGTGACACCCAATAGTGAGTAAGATTAGCATGGTTAAATTTCATATTGTTCCAGAATTAATACTATATTTTTCAATTTTTGTAAAAGTATTTTATGGTTATATTGATTTTAGCAATATAAATCTGTTGTAAGCTATAATAAATTAATTCCATGTAAACTACTCATTATATTTTTTAAAGCAATGTATGTACTGGATCACTTATAAACGAGAGATGGGTGATTACTGCAGCACATTGCGTTTTGTAAGTACAATATAATAAAATTTACATTGATAGTTTCGTTATTAAGTTAATACTCAAAATTCATTGCCTATAATCATCTATTATGTATTATTTAGATGAATTTTAATTTTGAATGCAATTTTATCAAATGGCCTTGATATAAAGTTATGTTTAGATATTTCAATAAATATTAATATTATAGATTCACACTGTATATAAAAGACTGAGCATGCTAACTTGTTTTGTGAAACGTACAGAAAGTGTAAAGATTGCGAGTCGACAACAGTGAGGGTATATCCGGCCATTTTGGACATATCCCAGAAAGGGAAGGGCATTGGTATTGATTACTACGACATTCATCCCGAATACCAGAAGGGAAATACTGTTGACAAAGCATTTGACGTGGCGTTAATCAAATTGGAAACGGAGTTCCACTTCAGTCGTCCCACAGCTAACGGCCCGCCATACCGTACTGCGAATAGCATTTGCCTCCCGGTGCGCGACATAAGGAATGAACGGGAAGAGTACGCCCGAGTGACCGGTTTCGGAGTGTAGGACTCGGGGGTCGGGACACCAACCGGTTGCAAGTGGGCTGGCAGGTCATACACCGGTACAAAGAGTTATGGGTCAGCCACTACGGGCTTATGATACTAACTATACGACTCAAAAATCATCACACTTTGGGATGTCTGGTAATTAGTACCATGGTCATTTGCTAATGTAATTTACATTCGTAACATTTAGGGCGACTCCGGGAGTTCGTTGATTCAGTACGTGAATGGCCGGGCGGTTATGATCGGTGTTTTGGCGCATTCGTCAAACAATTGCGCTCAAAATGGTGTCGCCTTTTATGTGAGGGTGTCCTTCATTATTGATTGGATCACCAATGTGTGCAGGGATATACCTTACTCATAATTAATTTAAATGTTCTTGGTACAAGTAATAATCATGATAAATATTGTCGTTATATGTCGTACAATTACTATTACACGGTAGTAGACCTAGTTACAATTTTAAAATATTTTATAAACATAAGCTTAGAAAAAATGAAATAATAAAAATATCCTGGTATAATTGTTTTTATCGGTACCCCTAGATCACTTTTTGGAAAATTAATTAAATATTTAACATTATATACTATATAAAAGTTAATTATACAGGCATATTGCACGCACTTTTTGGTACTATTTTATAGTATCTATTCAAAGTACACATTCATATGGTGTACAACATATTAGAAAATTTTGTTCATTTACTCCATACGACTAGCGCTTAAACCTAACGCTAAAACGTCTACAAAAATATTCACATAATGTTTACAAACCACTGATAAACACATGACTTTCATACTAGAGATAACTATAATTTAATTAAAAGTCTTTGAAAACTATCACTGAAACGGATCCAGACATGAATTACCCGGCTATCAACGAGTGTCACATCGGGTTCGTGGGGGCCGGCACTATGGCCTACGCCATGGCCTCCGGGTTCGTCAGCTCCGGTAGGTTTTCGGTCCGTCGAAAGTTTTTTTTCACTAAATCTGATCACTTGATCCCATTATCACCGCAAATAAAACTACAGGCGCTGTGAAGGCCAGCCAATTGAGTGTCAGCGCGCCCTCTAATCGCAATCTCAAGAGGTTTGAGGTATGAGGGCATCGGTGGTGTCCCCTAAGACTTGAGCCGCCATTCATGTGATACCGTATATCATAACTGTTCCCTTCTGTGGTGATTAGGCGCTGGGCTGTCACGTGACCAACAATAACAACGACCTCTTCAGCCACTTATCGGCACCGATGAGACACAAGACGTTGAAGATTATCTTCCTGTGCGTCAAACCCCTTGTGTTCAAACAGCCGGTGCTCGACATGAACGCCTACGCCAAAGAACCGGCAGTTTTAGTGGTGTCTGTGATGGCCGGCGTAAACCTCGAGACGATCGTACGGCGCCTTGAGGTAGACCCGGCTGACTGTACGCGTAATCCAGACAAAGGGCAGATATTTGTGGCCCGCATTATGCCCAACACTGCCTGTGCGGTGAACGCCGGGGTCTGTGGTGTCAGTTACGTGACCACCGGTGCCCGAGACTATAGTCAACGGCTGAAGGCTTTCCTGTCGGTGCTGTTGACGCCGTTAGGTGTTTGTGAGTTTGTCGATGAGAAACAAATGGACGCCGTGTGCGGGTTAAGTGGCAGTGGCATCGCTTTCGTACGTATAGTCATCTCATTTTCATGTGCCGTAAATCTAATGATCCCTTTCCCCTCCCCCTCATTGACACACCCGTCATAGGTCTATACGCTTATACACGCCATGGCTGACGGGGGTCTCAAAATGGGTTTACCCCGCACTGTGGCCACCAATATAGCCGCGCAAACAGTGCTCGTAAGTCATGGCATATAACTCACTAAATATTAGTTTATTTTATTCATTACTTATTTGTAAACCTCTGGACCCCCACCGACCACACACAGGGCGCCGCTCTAATGGTACAAAAAACTGGTCAAAACCCAATAGCGCTTAGAGATGACGTGGCGTCACCGGGAGGTACGACTATCCATGGCTTACACGCGTTGGCCAAAGGAGGCTTCGATGCCGTGGTTATGGACGCCGTCGAGTCGGCCACCAAACGATCGCAAGAGTTCTCACAGCCGTACTGATTATCAGACACTCAATACTCTTAGTCCGTGTTTTAGACATCAATTTAATATACATTTTATATTATATTTAGTGAATTGTGTTCAACAGATTGTTTTATTATGGATTTATTCATATTTTGGTTATATTTTTGTTATGATTATTGTTTTAGTTTTGTATTTTTCTATACATTTACTGTATTTGGGAATTAGTTTCTCTATTATTTGTAGCTATTATTTGTGCCAAACATTATTGTGATTGAACTCCAAGTTATACACAATTATTATACATGTATAGTGATTGACATCAAATTAAACAACGAGTTATATTCTACACGTAATTAAAACTAACAATTAATTTACGATTGATTTATTGAATAAAATCTGAGATACAGTACAGTACTAATGAAATATGATTTGAAATATAAATATAAATTTTGTTTTTGAAATTTAATTCAAATCTAATGACTTCATTGTGCGCCCCATTTAGCCGGCCGACCAAATATTGGCCACGACTTGTATTGAGTGGAGCTCCGGTAGATTTTTATAGCTGGAAGTTCTTCGAAGTGATCTAAATACTGGATAATAGCCGGGTATTTGCCAATTGTTTCCAATGAGAACAGCCTAAACCAGTCCAGTGTTTCGTAAGCCAAGAAGTCCACGTAAGACAACTGTCCCGTCAGCCACTGTTTCTCTCCCATGAACTTCACCAACAGATCTAACTGTGGCTCCAGAGTACCCGTACAGTAGGCCTCCTTTTTTGGCTCCCCGTCCGCCAAGAGTATACTAAACAGAAACCCGATTCTCATGTCTTGAATCTGTTGCTCAACCACTTCTTGAAGGGCACGCGTGGGCTCATCCCTGGCCGCTAATCCGTGTTTGTGCGCCAAATATCTCAATATCGTCAGACTTTGGGTCAGTTTTATGTCTCCATCGATATAATAGGGAAGGTTTGGGAAATCCAGACCTAGAGTAGGCTTAACTGATAGCCAGGTATCCCTATTCTGGATGTCATATCGTTTGTCATTATACTCTACTCCGGCATATTTTAGGAGATAACGGATGGCTTCGCCCAGACCTCGGATATCCCAATAACCCAGTGTTGGTACCGATGATGACATTATTTACTAAAACACAAGTTTTCACTGTAATAAAACTTTCCAAACTAATTGGTAATAGTTTTTGTATTTGTAAACTCACAGAAATGATTACATAAAATAAAATTGTACTATAAATTGATGTATTGAATAGTGGAAAGACACTCAAAGACTACTAGTCCACGACTTAGTGACAGAATATGATTGAAATGAACGTAATGTTAACGAATGTCTAGAATATAATTGAAAGGAAAACTAGTTTTCATTGAATTCATTACGAATGGCATTGAGAGCACATTTGATATTTAGACTCACATATCAATTATAATATGATTTATGTGTAGAACTGAATGACTATTAGATTAGAGAGATAACGATATATAGTAACAGAAATCAAAAAGTGAATAATAGCTTGTAATCAAATGTAGATTATATTTTTCTTAACAAATCAAGCATTCATAAGAGTAAATTATCAAGTAATTAATATTTTGCACTATTAATGACATTGCTTCACAATATATTAAGGAATAATTTAAGGAATATTAAAGAATATTATAACAATGGTTTTATGAATAAAGTAATAATAGTAATAAGATTTAATAATTAATACAACATTTTTAAAGTAATGCAATATAACATTTATTTTATCCGTATATTAATATCTATATAATAAGATTAAATGAATATTATACTTGATATGCAATTTATATTTATGCTGAAAAACCTATGAAAGCATTCATTTTGAGCCCCAATTGGCTCGGGGTCCAAACAGTGGCCACGATTTGAATTGCGCTGAACTCTGGTAGGATTTGATGGCTGGAAGTGCTTCAAAACGTGACAAATACTGAGTGACAGCCGGGTATTTTGCAATGGTTTCCGGTGTGAATCGTTTCAGCCAATCGAGAACCTCATAAGCGATGAAATCCACGTAAGATAACTGTCCGCTCAGCCATTCTTTACCGCCGAAGAACTTCACCAACAGTTCCAACTGTGGCTCCAGAGTACCGGTGCAATAGTCGGTCCGTTTCGCCTCATAGTCTTCGTGTCTAAGAATCGCGAAAACAAAACTCTGTCTCATGTCTTGGATCTGTTGTTCAGCCAACTCTTGTCGAGCGAGTGTGAGCTCATCCCTGGCTACCAGTCCGTGCTTTCGCGCCAAATATCGCATTATTGCCAAACTTTGGGTCAATTTTACGTCTCCATCGATATAATAGGGAAGGTTTGGGAAATCCAGACCTAAGTTAGTCTTATCTGACTGCCATTCCTTCTCATTGCTAAACACATAGCGTTTATCATTGAAGTCGATTCCGGCATACTTTAGG